CTCTGAGTCTGATTTCCAGGTGTAGGTATGCGTTAGTATGTCCAGCTTTCCTTTGGATTTCCTTTGGCTTCAGCTGTGCTGGCTAGCCTTCCTGTAGGATCTCTGTGTTGATGAGGACTCCTCTTCATCGCCCACTCTTCAACTGTGTGGTACTAATTTCTATGCCTTCCTCTTGGCTATTTTCTCTTTGTCCTTTAATCATTTCTTCTGGTACTTTCAACTTCCGACTTTTGGCTTTGTATCTTTATCCTGTTTTATCTCCTGGTTTTCGTAGACCTGCATTTTATCCAAACTTAGCCTTCTTAAGTATGGATGATCCTCAGTTACAGTGAGTTTATGCCCTGTTAAATTCATTTTAAGCTTAAAATTATAAGTGAAAAAATGCATTCATGGAATTTAGGATATGGCTTAGTGGTAGAATGCTTAATAGCGAGCCCTTGGGCCCATTCCCAGCATACTGAGAGGGAAAAGATGCACCTAACCTTCTGGGCATCCTCCTCTCTTAGCCACAAGCTGGTGATAGCATATTGCTGTGGAGCTGTGGCTGACTGGCAGCAATGGTTTACAGCTGGCCAGCTCATCAAGAGACTGTTGTGTCATATTTCACTAGTCCAGAAACCAGTCAAAGGTCAAATTCAGAGTAGGGTTCTTAATGAATATATAATGCCTTCCTACTATCACAAAGTCGAGAAACTGTAACACAAACCATGAGGTCTAGACAGTCTGCACTGCTCTCTCCATCAATTGTGGGCCTGTTGTACAACTCAACTTTACTCTCAAGGCTTACTTCCCAATGTATGTTCACATTTTGTGGAAAGTGGAATATAACTTTATTATTTTAAGAAATAACAGATGCAAGGAGGCATTATTATAAAAAGTTTCAGAATTGTTCTTTCCTCCAGTTGGCTCAGAAACAGGCCTATAAACTTGTTTTCCAAAGAAAATATAAGTCGTGTTACAATAGAAAGTTGCACGCTATGAAGTGAATTCCATTTGATATGTAATTCCATGGGGATATCTTCCAATATCATGGAGAATATTATCTTGCCTTCCAGATTTGTGTTGAGAGTAGAATATGTACAGTATTAGAGATTATGAAAAAAGTTTGAACTATGTGTATAAAAAAAGGTCTTCATTTTTAAAGTTGCCTCAGTTCTGACATGAAGTAGATTCCAAAATGTATCTTCAGTTGGCCTGTTTAACATACTTTGAACAGAACTCAGTGATTTTTAAGAAATTGTTCTGCAAGAATAGAGATAACAAGAGTTTTGAAGGCTGACATGTAGCTCAGTGGTGGGGAGTGTATATTGCATGCACAAGGCTCTGGTTTAGTTCCCAGAACACCATAGCTTTTCTATTGCAGTAGTTCTAAATAACTTATCTAAACTTGCTATATAACTTCCCTCCCTTTCCTTCCCTTCCTTTCTCTTCCTCCCTCTCTCTCTCCTTACTTTCTTCTTTTCTCTCTCTTTCTTCTCCCCACCTTTCGTGTGTGTGTGTTTGTTTTGTTTGTAGGATTAATGTTTCATGTTCAGTTGTATGCCAGGAAGTATGAGTTACTAATGTGCTGAAATCCTTTTGGATATCTCAGTAGGTTTCTAATCATGGGAACATTCCAGGAAGGATTACCAAGAACTCTTTAAGTTACTTGGCTTTGGTAGGACATTATAGACCTTTGACTCCTGAGCCACTTCCTAAAGCAAGCATTTGTGCTGTGAGTGAATCTCTGCTTAGTGTAACAGATCTTGGGTGGCCAAAAGGCTCTTTAGAAACTGAACCCAGATCTGCACATAATAAAACTTGACATTTGATTGGTGTTAATTTTGGTATCATTCATCATTCTTTATTTTAAATGATTAAGCTTCCTGAGAATGTTATTATTTGAAAATCTTGGCCAAAATACAACCTACAAGGAAATAGCATTTAATACTATAGTACCAAGAGCATCTTATATTTAGGCCCAAATATCTCACTTTAATTTTACAGTTCTTTATCTGCTGATTACATTGGGGCCTTAAAATGCATGTAACTTATGAGGAGCTTTTTACCATTTTGGAGAATTAGCAACTTCATGTGAGGCAGTAAGAAAACCAGGAAAAGATATAATTTGGTAAAAATTTATTTATTTATTTACTATTCTCTGAAAATTTTGTACACATGAACAGTATAATTTAATCAATATTTTTAGCCAATCATGAAAATTTTTCTTATAGAATTACTGCCATAATTTTTGGTTACTTACTTAATAAGTCAGTCTAGTGTATATGTAGATTTGTTTCATTTTTTTTCTGTGATTTTAAAAAATTTGGTTGTAGTGTATGGGAAGATAGTTCAATTGGTAAAGTGTTTGCTGTGTAAGTATGAGGATCTGAGTTTGAGCTTCAACATCTACATAAATAGCCAGGCACTGTCCCATGTGCTTGTGATCCCAATACTGGTAGGATATCTGAGTTCACTGGCGAGCCAACCTACTCTATATGGTAGGCAGTAAGAGATCCTGTCTTTAAAAAACAGCAGTAGTTAGCATATAAGGGATGGTACCTGAAGTTGTCTTCTGGTTTCCACATGGATACCTAAGTATGTGTGAACCTATACATACATGGCCATGTACACCTATGCACCAGTAGGCATGCACATGCAAGTACACACACACACACACACACACACTTTATAAATTAATTCAAATGTAAACAATACCATAATCAAGAGGATAGCTCTTATGAGGGAAGAGGGTTTTTGTTGTTGTTTTTATGAAACAAACAAACAAACAAACAAACCAGATGACTTTTAAATAGCTGGCAAGATTCTCATTGTTTAAATAGATATTATATAGGATGGTGGTTTTTATGGTCATTAAATTATACTTGTGTGTGGTTCTCTGTTTTGAATTATAATAATTCTAAAGCAAAAAAATGTTAAATGAAGACAAAGCATTTCCTCCACCTCAATTTTATTACATTAATGTGTGAAGCCACTTGTGAAACTTTCATAGGAAATGCAGTAAGGTAGACACTATAAAGGTTTCAGTTAGGTTGAAACAACAGATCAACAGAGAGAAACAAACAACAATCAAATAGTCAGGTGATTGCTGCAGAAAACAAGCATTCAGCCTTAGTCACTGGACTCTCTGATGTGTCTTCTCATCCTCCCATTGTGGAAATGAGGTGGAATCCATACCTGAAATGCCTGTGTTGTTTTGTCATTTCTTATCATGCTATTACATGTTTCTTATTTAGTTAAAGACTAAATGGATTCTAGATACTTCTCTTTTAAGTTTTCTTTGTTTTTTTTTTTTTTTAAAAAATTGTATGTCTGTGTCTGGGAACATGCACATGAGTACAGCTTCTTTCAAAGGCCAGAAGAGAGCTTCAGATTCCTTAGAGTTGGAATTCCAGGCAGTTGTGGGTTGCCTGACATGGGTGCTGGGAACCAAATACGAGTTGCAGCAAAAATAGCACATGGTCTTACCTACTGAGCCATCTCTTCAGGTTAAAATAATGTTTTTTCTTAGTGTGGTGTATTTATATTTCTATGTGAGTGTTATGCATGCTTATTATGTGTATACATGTTGCTATATAACTTGCAGGATCCAGAGGTCAGTATTGGTTATCTTCCTCGATTACTCTTTACCCTTTAAGAGATGTTGCAGAATATTTGTTCACACCGTGAACCCCAAGATTGTGTTGTTTACTGGAAAAACCTGTTTCTAGTTGTAGTGTAGCTCAACCTTAACACACCTTTAATCTCTCTGGCTGGAATACAGACACACCCTTAGTACACACCTTTCATCCCAGGCAGTGAAGATAAAATTAGTTTGTAGAAGGAAGCACCCCTGTTTGAAAGTGATGCTGATATCTTCTGAAGAACAGCAGGTAGATCATAATTCAAGGCAGTGTACCGTATAGACCATGACATGTTTCAAGGCACAGGCCAAGAAGATTTTGTACTTTTCCACCATCTGGCCCCTCTTACCCCCTCCCCTTGTGAAACATGCTATAAAAAAGCATTTCATGTTCAAAAATAAATAAATTATTTATAAAAAAAAAAAAAAAAAGAAAAAAAAAAAAGAAAGTGATGCTGAGTTGAGTGGCAGACAAAGTGATGATTCAGAGAAAGATTTGACAGACTAGGATATAACCAACTCTCATGAGCAGAGAGAGGAAAGGGAAGCTATAAGAGGAAGCAATGGAGAGAGAGAGAGAGAGAAAGAGAGAGAGAGAGAGAGAGAGAGAGAGAGAGAGAGAGAGAGAGAGAGAGAGATTGATTTTACAGGGAGAGTTTTATAGAGACCTATTGAAGAGAGAAAGAGCCAGAAGCCAGAGAATGAGGAGCCAGAAGATTTAACATATTGCCATAGTTGGTATAAGGCCAAGCAGAGCCATTCAGGAGAAGCTGAGAGAAGTCTGATCAAGTCAGTCAGCTTTGAGACAACTTTAAACCAGAACAGCTGAGTTGAGCTAGCCAGCCAGAGTTCAGAAAGGACCAGGAAGAGATGATCTTTTATAGTAGTAAAAGATCAAAAGGCCAAAACCACTCTAGGCCTAGAATAGATTTTAAGCAGAATAGAAGCTTCCAGGATTAGGCCTAGGTTAGCCGAAAGAGGTAGTAAGCATCAAGGACAATAATTACTTTAGGTGAATAAAAGATACTTTTACAAAGAAGGATCTTTCATTGAGTCTAAAGCTCACTGATTTGGCTTGGGTAACTGGCCAGTGAGCTTCAGGGATCTGTTTGTCTCTGCTCACTACACCGAGTGCCATGTCCAGTTTTGTGCAGTGTTAGATATCAAGCCCAGGGCTTCATGCATGACAGACGGGCCCTCTGCCAATTGAGCTACGTCTCAGCCTCTTATTTCCAGGACTTCTAGCCATTTTTTTAAGAAAACACGTTTTTAGTAGTATAATAAAAATGGAAATATATTAATTGATTTAAGTTTTTACTAATGTTCATAGTTGTTTAACAGATTTGAAGTAAATTACAACAATTTTTTTTCTTACTAGAGGCCTCTTTATTAGTATCCACGACAAAGGGCATATTGCTTCAGTTCTTAATGCATGGCCAGAAGATGTTGTCAAGGTAAGTTATCAGTGATTTTGCAATGAAGTAGTTTGTTTTTTTTATGACTCATGAAACAGTTTATATCATAGTCACAATCTCATTTGCTGGGAGCAGCATTGAATGTCACCTAATTAATATTTCTGATTTCTCTACAGTATATTAATTTTATTATAAAGCTGTTTAGAGACTCCCTGTAACTACAAGCTTTTCTACTTGGCCTCTTTGTTCCCCAGAATGATGTCTTTGAGACTGAATTATTTGTGAATAAATGCCGAGGGCATAAGCTGGGCCTTATTCTGACTAGCTCATGACTTAACTAACCCATTTATTCTACTCTGTGAGTGCCACATGACTGTTATACCCCTTCCTCAGGTTCATGCATCCATCTCCATCAGCATTCAGGGCAAATCTTTTCCTGCATGAGACTATCCCAGAATCCTCTCTCCCTGCTGGAACTCCCACCTCCTATTTCCTACCTAAGCTAATAGGCCATATTAACAGGTGGTGCTTCTGTACATTACACAAGAGATTCTCTCTACATTTCGCTGTTATTTCTAATTTATTAGTGTTTCATTCTTCATAAAGTCATTGTATAGTATATACATATATATGTTGAACCTGTAGGGCATATAATTTCTTTAAGCAAACTCCTTTATTGTATTTGTTGTGTTTGATGAGCCACCAAGCTCAGAGTAGGCAGAAGATACCTGTTAAATTATTCAATCAGTAAGTCCTTAAGGAGCTGTGAGTTAATGAAATATAAAATAATAATTCCTGAGGATGTGGTTGTGTATACTGCGTGTGTGCATGCGTGTGTGTGCATGCGTGCATGCGTGTGTGTGTGTGTGTGTGTTGTGTTCACTCCACAACCTTGGTTACTGGATCTGAACTCTGATCATACTTCTTGGCAAGTATTTTTACCTGCTGAGCCATACCCTGGCTTGATATTTTCCCCGAACCAGAAACTTGGAGAAGATTTTAAGAGTCAATAAGGTAGTTCAGAAAAATTGTCCTGGAGTGAGGTTCTAATCACTGCTTAACATCGAGGCCTTAGACAATCACCCTAGTCAGCACTTAGTTGTAATAGCATACTGAAAAGTAAGATATGGTCTTCACTGTGTAGATGAACACACATGGAACACAGGTAATTTACTAGATAAAATGTAAGTGTAAAGATGCTCTGTTTGCTTATTCTGAAGATAATTTTATGACAGAACATTTTGTCCTGCCAAGACCCTTTAATGTTGAAAAAATTTCAATAAGGCATAAACTAAACTAAGATAGAGATACCTTCAATTTTTTTTTTAAGTCTCAGTATGTGATTATAATTTAGTTAAGTAATGGTACTCCATGGGATAGGAGCCTAGGGAATAAATGTTAAGTACAACAACAGCAACAACAAAATGCCTTAAAAATCTTCATATTTAAGACATATTTCATTTAACGTAAATGTGCTCTCAAGTGAATGACAGTGTATAATTTTTAAAAACTTATTTTCAAAAAATTGAGACTGTTGAAAATTATATAGCTTCTGTGCTTTTAATGATCTGGAAAGCATTACATAAAATTATTCAGATTATAGGTAATTATGTAATAAAGTAACTCTCCTTGTGGAATACACCATTACAACATTTCTAAGTGTAGGCAGGCCATCTGGGTTCCCCATGTTGAGAAATGCATTTCTAAGTGTGGATCATCAGCAGTGCCTATAAGTGCTTCCATCTGTGACAGCACATGAAATACACTCATGGCTCTGAAAGCAACATCTGAGGTAGTTGGACACTGACGTTCTCCGTAAGAGTGTGAATATATTGACCAGTTGCAGCTAGGAGAAATTATGATCCCTTGAAATTAACAGGGAAAAGTTTTCAAAGATGGAGTATATGGAATATGCATGAATAATCTCACCTCTCTTAAATGTATTTATTTCTAAAACAATTTCAATAGTTGTATTTCACAATACACAAAAATTGAAGGCAGCACATCTCAACATCCCAGCAGTGCACTTTAAAGCATAGCTGTCAGAACAGTGTGGCAGAAAGCACCGTGATGAGCAGACCCAGCTGCTGCTTCTTTGGGAGCTCTTAGGCGATTCATTTAGGCCAAGATAGTTAGTTTTCTGATTTTTCATTTCATGATCTGTAAAGAGGAGGGACTCGAGTAAGCTCTAGATCCTCATTAACGTGCTGTGTCTTTCTGAGGATACGAACAGCTATGCTAATTTAAAATGTGAAATCCAAGTATTGTAAGTTCTTTATATGTCATGATTTCACTTTATGTACCAGTGAATTTACCTACTTATTGACTGTTTACTGAGTGCAAAATGTTGTGCCAGATGCTGGGATCATAGTAGCGAGCAGACAAAGCCACTCTGAAAGCACATGCATTAAGTTTGTTTTCAAACTAAGTAGAAGAGCTGGAATGATGATGGCTCAGCAGTTAGAATAGCTGGCTGCTATTCTCAGGACCATTAGCTTGATTCCCAGCACTCACAAACATCCAGTCCAAGGGACTCTGATGTCCTTTTCTGGCCTCTGTGGGCATTAAGCATGCATGTGATACATTGACTTAGAAGCAGGTGAAATACCCCCACGCACAAAATAAGTGAATTAAAAAAATAAGTAGGAAAGAGAAGCTTAAGTTCATTGCTTTTTCTAGGGTCAAATAACTGCTGTTCCATGGATATTTTGAATGCAGCACTTTATATTATGTAATAAATTTGGTTTTAATTCATTTTGTAGCCATGAATCATAAAGTGAAAACATTAAATGCATTAATTGTAATGATGTTTTCTAATGATGATATTAAATTCTGTAAAATAAGCCCTCTACATGAATAACATGTATGATTACTAAGTAAATAGAAATAAGCCAAGCAAAACTCATCAGTTCTAGGGAAAGGTCAAAAGATAATTAGTGTAGCAGACTGTCTTGGGCATGCTCTAGAGAGAACAGCACAGTGCCAGGAGCTTCTGGGACTAAGAAGTCAGTGTCTTGGGGCAGAGGTGTGACTATCTCATATACTTAGCACTTCTGCTGTATGTCATTACCGACCCTCCTGTAATTGCCCTGGGGGGCATTGGCTAGTCTGACAGCTGCCCTATGTTCTTTGTTTGCAGTTTTAGTTCTAGTTTTCTATTTGCCCTCTTGGTTGGAGAGTAAATTATTTGTGTTGTTTGAATTTCTTTTTCATGCCCTCTCTTTACAGTAATATAACTAATCATACATATAATTTTATATAATGCTCAGCATATATTGATCAAACCCATTTCTCCTCCCCATTCTTCCCTAATGGCTATGATTAAATATGCAGTTTATGTATATTTAATGTATGCTTTCTTGTAGCTCAGTGTTTAATTGGAAGGCATTACCTTTAGGATTAGAGACCAGGAATGAAGACAGACTTTTTGTCTTTTTCTTTTATCTAGGCTATTGTGGTAACTGATGGAGAGCGTATCCTTGGCTTGGGAGACCTTGGTTGTAATGGGATGGGCATCCCTGTGGGTAAACTGGCCCTGTACACAGCGTGCGGAGGAGTGAATCCACAACAATGTCTACCCATCACTTTGGACGTGGGAACAGAAAATGCGGTAAACAATTCAAGTGTACAAAACTACTAGCTGTCTTTAAAAATGGTGCCAAATTTTGCATTTTGAGATTGTGTTTCATAGGTTATCCCACTCCCCTCAATTCTGCCCCCAACAGTTATAAGAAAATTGCTTTTTCTGCTATTTTCTCACGTCTATAACAATTCATAGTTCATCTGCCTTAGTGGTCTCAAATCTTTTGAATAAGTATTGATGCCACTATTATTTGAAGCACATTAATTACTCTGAGATACCATGATTTCTAATTATTTTTACATTATAAAGGGTCTAATTTCATAGGTCTTATTAAACTTAATCGTATTATTGAGATCTTATTATTCTAGAAGTCTGTATTGATCCTGGGGTAGGTGATTTGGAGTATAGCTCAGTAATTTAAACAAGTAGTTATTATGTTTTTTATAATATACAAACAAAATCATATTTTGTACAGCTTCTGTACAGAGATGCCTATTTAACCTTTATTTAAGGAAATATTTTGATTTAAAATATGACTTCTGATATTTTCTTTTTCAGTACTAATAAAAATGATAGTTATCAAACTTAGCCTGTTTTAAAATGCTGTTTTAAAATTATATGTGTATATTGACATTAGGATTTGTCAAAGTAAGGCCAAGCAGTGGTGTTGCATGCCTTTAATCCAAGCACTTGGGAGGCAGAGGCAGGCAGATTTCTGAGTTCGAGCCAGCGTGGTCTACAGAGTGAGTTCCAGGACAGCCAGGGCTACACAGAGAAACCCTGTCTTGGAAAAAAAAATTGTCAAAGTAACTGCTACTTTAGTTTTTATATATCTTTTAAAGATTTATTTATTTATTTATTTATTTATTTATTTATTTATTTATTTAATGTGTATGAGTGCTGTATGTGCATGTACACCTGCATACCAGAAGAGGGCATCTGATCACATTACAGATGGTTATCAGCACCATGTGGTTGCTGGGAATTGAACTGAGGACCTGTGGAAGAGCAGCTAGTGCTCTTAACCGCTGAGCCATCTCCTCAACCCTAGTTTTTATGTTTTTAAAACAAGCTGAGATGATATATGGGAGTCAAGTTAAATAAAACCTACAAAATCTATGGTGTATCTTTTGCATGTTCCAGGGGTTACTAAAGAGGGATGAGAACTATCAAATAAGCATATAATAATTTGAACAGCTTTTAAATCTGTGCCTTTAAAATAATTCATTTATTTTTTACTCACTTTTGTGTGTATTTTGTTTAGATGGCTATGTTTGCACCACACACGTGCCTGGTGCTCATGATGTTTAGAAGTAGGTGTCAGAACTCCTGGAACTGGAGTGAGTTACAGGTGGTTTTGAGCCACACGTAGGTGCTGGAAACTGACCCAGCTCTCCTTCAAGAGCAGCCGATGCTCTTAATCAAAAGAGCCACTTTCCCAGTCCCCACCTGGGCCTCTTTTGCAAGGTTATCGATATTATGTGGACGTAGGGACACTTGATCACTGTTATCTACAATTCATTCTTACATTGATAGATTGCATGAATTATCAGAATCAAATGGTTTCATGAAGGTGGGTCTTAGAATTGTCAAGTTGACTGATTACCTTGTATTTTTTACACTGTCTGCTTTTTAAAGTAAGTCACATTATATTGGAGAATGCTACCTTTTATTTAATTTTCACTATTTGCGTCCAAATTTGTCCTTTTGTGTCACAAGTATTGTATTTTTATTTTTGCATATGGATATGATGTGCATGTGTCTATCTGTGTTTATGCGTGTGGGAGTACATTGGTGTAGATAGCCGTGTGTGTGTGCATGTGGAAATCAGAAATTAAATTGGGCAGCTAGTCACAATAAGGTTTTCATAATGCAAAGTATTCATGTCACTTCCTTTTGTGACAACCTATAAACTAGAATAATCTTCAGTCCCTTTTTTGGGGTGGGTTAGGATACAGAGTGATAGGTTCCATCACTGTGCCTCTGTATGTGTATGACACTCTAGCTTGCTCTCCTCCGTTGCCCTCCTCCACTGTCCCTCCATGTCATCTTCCTCTCCTCCGTCTGCTTTTGTTTTAAATTGCATTTTATATACATTAATTTTTGGCAATCAAAACTGTAAAAATATGCTACCTTTTCAAGTGTTATTTAATTTTTTTAATTAGAAATTTATAATAACAATTTCAAGTACGTTGTTATAAGAAAATTACATAGCATTCTAATTTTGAAATGGTCTTTTTCATAACTCTTAAACTCAACTATTATATTTATTTTCTCTCCTTTCTGCATGTTTGTGTGTGCATGTGTGTGTGTGTGTGTGTCTGTGTGTGTTAGAGGACAACCTATGGGAGTTGGCTCTTTCCTTCTACCCTGTGAATTCTGGGAATTGAACTCAGGGCATCTGGCTTAGTGGAAAATGTCCTTGCTTGACTGCTTTAGTTATATTTCTTTATATTATGTCTGTCAGTTATCAGTGTGGGAAAGAATAGGAGAAAAGAGAAGGCTACATTTTTCTCTTAGCTATGTCCCCTCCCCCCTTTTCTAAAACTCATATTCAGAGGCTAAATATCTTCCAGACTTGGTGAACATATTTTAATATTGGCAGCCATTAGTAGCATATTGGCAGTTTAACCTCAGCTGCCCAGAAACCTGCCAGTGACTTGTTTAAAGAGTGCTTTAAGGAATAGCTGGGCTTTACAACAGTTCTTAGTTTCAGATTTTATATTTTACATTTATGTGACTTAGCATGTTAGCTTCCAGTAAGCAAAAAACCTTACCTACTTGTTAAGCAGTACACTGCAAGTTAGATATATTGGTCAAACCAAGGGGATTTCACAATGAGAGAAAGTGCTATTAATAATTACACCAGGACAACAGGTATGCTCTTGGCTGTGGTTTCTATTGGCTTTAAGTAAACTCTACTTCAGAAGATTCAGATAGTTGAACTTCCTTAACAACACCACACCTGAAAGAGCGTATCTGTCTGTCATGAAGTGTCTCCAAACCCAGGGAACAGTTACTGTTTCGTTAAGGTTTATGGCCCTGTGGGTTATAGTTTCCTCTGGCTGATAGGAAAGCTTGGATGGCTGGGATAAGTGTGCTTTTCTCTTGTTTACTTACACTTACACTGTACAAGGATTTCCATTATAGACTCTAATGTTTCCATCCCAATAACAGGGCGGGGGATCTAAAGTTAGGGTCCTCTGATCCAGATCAGGTCTAGATGCAGATGAGGCTTGCTCTCTGCTTCCTACTAAGCCTCTTTTTATATGTTCTCACACACCACACTTACAGTGACGAGTCAGGGACCGCATGGTGACAGCATACCTAGTCAAATTGGAGGAATAGCAATCCTCTGGTTCTAGAAGGTCCACAGCCAGCAAAACCTCTGGGGACATCAAGCAAGCCCCCTGCTCATGGCCAGGCTTTGATTCCTCAGAGAAGGTTTCTGTAGCACATTGTTTTCAGGCCCTTGCCCTCCTGTGAGTTGTTGATTCTGCCCTCTGGGACAGCCCTCCATTTTTATAACAGTTTGTCTACAGTTTGCATATAAACCACTTAGAGGTTTTAAAAAAGCAGTGTTTGTAGTTTCTAGTGTTCAAGTCTTAATTATGTATATTGATAAATATTTCTCTGTGAATATTGTTTTGAATTACCATTATAAAATGGAGTTGTATTTTATTTTTACTGTCCACTACAAATACGTGGAGATATACTTGTTTTTGTATATTGTTCTTATATCCTATGACTATATTCAGTTAATATACATTCAGATTGGCACTTTCTATGTATATAATTATGTGTATACACATACAAAGTGTTTGCAGTCTGTGTGCTTGTCCTTTTCCTGCTTTATGGTCATGGCTAGTGTCACTGGTGTAATGATGAAGAAAAGTGATAAGGATATTCTTGCTCTGACTTAGTCTTTCACTGTGAAATATGCCATGAGCTATGATTTTTTCACAGATGTTCTTAATTTACTGAAAACTTTGCTACTAATGGGCATGTTCTACACTATCTACATTATACCTCAATTTTAGAACTGAGTTATTAAAATAATTATTTATAATTATTTATGCCAATACTTGAGTAGAATAATGGTATCTCAGATCTGTTTAAGAAATAGGAAACTAGAGCTGGAGAGATGGCTCAGAGGTTAAAAGCACTGTCTGTTCTTCCAAAGGTCATGAGTTCAATTCCCAGCAACCACATCATGGCTCATAACCATCTGTAATGAGATTTGGTGTCCTCTTCTGGCCTCCAGGCATACAAGTAGGCAGAACGCTGCATACATAAATTAAAATGTTTTTTAAAAAAAGAAATAGGAGACTAGAAAGTTTAAAGAGCTTAAGAAAAACTTGGTCAATGCTAAACATATTCTCTCCTAAGTAAGTTAATAGCCAAAATATACCCAAAATGTTTGAAGAGTTTGAGTTTTTTTTGGAAATTGAAATAAATCTATGAAAAATTTTCATTTTTTTCATTCATAAGTTGTAAAATTTTAAAACAACATTATTTCCATGTATGATACATCTTACCTATAAAATCAGAGTGGAACTTTTCTAATGAGCACCACTGACATATTTTAATTACTTTTCTTCGTCCCAGGACCTGCTCAGAATGTTTTAACCTTTAGTAATTATTTTTTTATTTGGTTTGTGAAGAGTATGGATGTACTCTGTATAGTATTTACATACTATACATTAAGTAACTAGTGACTGTGGGCTACTACAAATCAGTATGTCAAGATTTTATTTCTGTTTCTATCTCTTATAGAGATGATCAAACAGAGTAAGGAATGGTAAATGACTTTCTCGTTGCTAACTCTTTTTTATGGCGACTGCTTTTTTCACACTAGGAGTTACTTAAAGATCCACTGTACATTGGACTGCGGCACAGGCGAGTGAGAGGTCCTGAGTATGATGCCTTTTTGGATGAATTCATGGAGGCAGCTTCTTCCAAGTATGTAGAATCTCCGTTTATCTGTATTTGAGTTGAATTTCAAAAGCCCAAATCCTAACTACATATATTTGAAAGCCTCCCGTTTGATTCAGTATGGTTTAATAATTAGATGTAATAATGAATAAATTCACTTTCTCTCCCTTTCTCCCTCTTCTTGTCTTCTTCTTCCCCTCCTCCTGTCGCTCCTCCTCTTCTTCTTCCTCCCCTCCCCTTCCGTGCTCTTTCTCCCTCCCTCTCTCCCTTTTTCCCCCTCTTATAGCTTTCACTGACCAAATGGTAGCCATGTATCTATCCTCCAAGCTATCTCTGTTCCTGTTCTCAAAGGAGCATTGGTCTTAGAAGCATCATTGTTGCCATTGAAATAGGCGATGGTCTCTAGCTTCACCACACTAAACCTCCAGATCTTGTCTGAAATGCATGCTTATGGGAAGTAGGGAACTGGCCAGTGGCAGTAAATACAAAAAGGAAGACTTTTCCTTTTTTACATTTGTGGCATTTCTTTTTTGGCTGCTGGTAAGATCCACTCTCCATTCATGTCTGTGGCTGATATTGGACCCTTTTGTGGTGGGAGAAAGAAGAAGTGGAGACTGAGTGTGAGCTATACAATCCCAGAGCTGTAATAGGGGGAACATCAGGGTATCAGTTGCAGTTCATGCATCTCTACTTAAACCAACAGTATTTGATTAAATGTACTACTGTGTTTTCATATAATGTAGTAAGCTTTGGGTTGTGGGCCTTCTGGTACTATAAGACTTTACAACGTTTTTCTATAAGAAGGAGAGTCGGCGATAATTTTAGTAATATATTCTGAGGGAATTCTGTCATGCCAACTGACAGTCATTCATTTTGTTAGTATTCAGCCACAAAACCATTATTGTTTAAAAATACATTTGTACTTTGGTGGTTATACTTTGTTGTTTTCAAGTAACTTTATCACTAGTATTTCATGTAACTAAGATGTTCTTTTGTTTCTTATAATTTAAAGTCATAAACAAGAGAAAAAAATAGTTTCCTCATCAGTTTGCACAGGATTTAAATACATTGAATTGTATGTCATGGGATTTAATACAGAATATACTTTTAAATTGCTATGGACTAATTTAAAAAGAGTGTGTTTGATTAATTTGTTATTACCCTATTTATACATTAAGCTATATTTACTTGTAGAAATAGTTGAGAAACTTTAAGTTTTATGTGATGCCATTCATTTCTACTTATAACTCACATATAATTTTAAATGTTTTACCATAAAACACTTGATAAAGTTGTGATTATCAACTTTCTAAATCACAGCATGATCAAGAGGTTGATTCAGTAGTGCCCTGCAGCCTCCTGATAGAGAAGGAAATGACACTTGCAATGTGTTTTGCTTCACTGTCAGTTCATGAGTTTAAAAATCTACCTAAATAAGACAAATTCGTGATATTTACAGGGAATTTATAAAGCCAGTCCTAAGCACTAAATGATGATGAATAGAGGAAGATCCTTAAGGGAACCATGAACAGCTTTCTGGAGAACTGGAGATAGGAACCAAGTTGGAAAGGTCTTTTTCCTTGCAGGATCAGATAACAACTTATATTTTAAATATTAAACTGGGGGACTACTCAAGTTATATGAAAAGAAAATGGGGATTAATAGGCTCACCAGTGATTTTTAATGCATGAAACATCTATAGCCAGGCATGTTTGCTCATGTCTATAATCCTAGGAATTTGGGAACTGAAGCAGGAGGATAACTTGAGCTCCAGATTAGCCTGCATTGTACAATGAGACTCTGTTCAAATGAAAATGGTGAAAAGGAGGAGTTATCATTCTGGGCCCTTCCTAGAGAAAAATAGCAGAGACTTCAAAGTGTATTGTTTTGATACTGTTCCTTTAGAAGCTGACTAGGAGTAAAACCAAGCATTATCCAGTTAGGGTAGCAAAGAGAAATTCATTTTAAAAGGAAACATGACTTAAATTCATGACTGAGGAGTGACTTTTGCAGTTGGAGTTTCTGAAATAGAATGTATTCAGTGCTATTCGGAACAATGCTTGTAGGAGGGAGGAGGAGGAGCTCAGAGCAGACAGAGGCAGAAGCTGTGCGGCAGCATGGGCCCGCACACTTGGGTAATAGCATTTGGGACCACTCCTTGCACTACAAGATTGTTAGCATCCACTAGTTTTTGCCACGTTCCAAACACCAAAACTGTTGTGGGTTTTTAACTTACTGTATTGGCAGAGATGGGGTGGGTGTTGAGATGGTATAAAGTCTTCTTTCTTTGTTTGCTCTATGATAGCGCCAATTGTGTAGGTCAAAGACTAGTGGATATTGTGACATGCTTAGTAAGTATGAAATTAGAATATCTCAGTTGAGAAATCCCACACAGTATAGATTTATGGTCTCATTCAGACTTTTATGAGCACCTGGTTGGGGCCCCACTTATTACTGCCCTTCACATTGCTTCTATCAAAGTGGGGAGCGGGAGCATCTGCTTGATGTTTCAAGTCTCCAGATATACATCGCTGCAGACTCCATGTGTAGAATCCTCTAAAGATCTGAGCCCTTTTTGAGCCCTTTCCCCCACTGTAGCTACCTGATTAAGCATTGTAGATTCCTCTGAAGAGCTGGGAGAATTACTGCTCAGTATCCTTGCCAACACATTGCGAAGTCGTGCCTTCTGGAAACTAGGCCTCTTCTTTCTGTGAATTCTGGGTAAAAGATTAGCTCAAGTTTGGAAATGGTACAAGCAATTGCAACTTTATTGCGTTAACTGCTTTCAATTGTGTAGCCATTTGTCTTTGATTTCTTTTGGTAGCAAACACCAAGTGGCAGACTAGGAAAAGCTGTCTGTGTTCTCTCTCGTGACTGTGGGTCATTGTCTCACACACACTGCTGTTGCCCCTCTAAAGACAGCTGCACCCATTATGTTTCTTTCTGGAGTCTTCTCTCCCCTCTTACTGTTTATCAGTAAGCCTGGTTATGTATCAACTTTGTCTTCTGTCCATCTTGGTCTTCTGAGAGCCAGAAATAAACTTTTCAGTGGTTTGGAGGCTTCTCACCAACATATTCCATGTGGCTTTCTGTCATTGGTTTAGAAAATAGTCACCTGATTTTTTTTGGGGGGGGGAGGTCACTATATATAGTTTGTATATCCCAGAATGCCTTTCTCTGAGCCCAGAAATTCTTGCCTCTCCCATCCATGGCAATGTTTCTGGGAGCCAGTCTTATTTAGTATGAGCCATTGGTTTGGGTAGGCTCCTAGCAATTATTTTAATAGTCACTTTGTGTCATCTCTGAGGATTCTTGCCAGTTGTTAAGTTCTGCGTCTTAAACTGTCTGAAAATCATTACCTAACATTAGGGTTCAGATTCTGATAAAAGACCCTCAGAATTAAGCTCACTTGGACTGCTCTTGGCTAACACAAGCTATCTAAATCTGTTTCTTTGAGATATAGTAGCTCTCTTCCTTCTTAAGCTCCAGCATGGCCATATGGCTTTTGATGTGATAGATGCTATTATAGGCCTGAGTGGGGGTCTGAAGGAGATTAAGGAATTGACAGGTCTAGAAGGGTGCATACTGTCTCCTGGAAGAAAACTAACTTTATCAACAGTGAGAAGAGAAAAAAAGACTGCTTCTGTTAGGTCATAAAATGGTGTTGACTCTGAGGATTTAAAATTTGGGAAGATCAAGCCAGATATTCCTCTCCATGTAGCAAGCATCCACACACTCACAAGATTCTGATGGCGCAAATATGAGTTGCTAGGAAATCTTGGAGGCTCACTGATGGGTACAAACCCTGGTCTTGCCATCAGGTTCTTCTACTAATGGATCCACAGAATCTGAAAGTCTGTTTGTACAAGTGAGGTCTTTGGCCCTCATGTTGATGGCTATTTGCCCACAAGTCTTGTGTTCCTTTCCTATTACCCTCTTAGTGTGATTTCTCAAAAACTCTGAAACACATTCCAGTTAACATTCTCTTTTACTGATATACGGAGCAGGTCACCTCAGGGAGAGAATTTTAATAGTTGGGTTGCTATCTTGTGCTGAGGTCTAATTATTGCCAGTGACAGGATCCTTGTGGCTATCGGTGACTGATCTAGGTCAAAGGACCCATTTTAATACCTGCTTTTTCAGACCAGATCTGGTACCAGATGTCATAGACTAGGTTGCCTGGGAGGCATATTCTGAAAGGAGGCTCAATGTTTAAGGATTCTTTAAGAAGTGCTCTTGAGAGTAACTTCCAGGGAAGAAAAATAAAGGGCACAAGTTTGAGCAGAAGAGGTTGAGTGGTTCTCCAGGCATGACCACCTCTACTCACTGCCCATAGAGAACTCTGGTGGCTACTATTGTTGCTCTCTGGGCTGTTCTGACCAATCCAGTATGTTTCTGTATCAGTTAGTAACTGATAGAAACTCATAGGTCATCCTGGGAAAGAATCGGCCATGGACTGTGATGAGGTGTTTCTCTGTGACTAAGATGATCCTTGGGATAACAATGGGCAATCTGGTAGCATTTCATGTCTCTAGTGCAGTGACTGAATTCAGGAAGTGTTGACTAGCATATTTAGTAGTGTAGCACATACCTACTTTAATACTTGCTTAGTCGCTGTTGGAGAGATGGCTCAGTGGTTAAGAACACTGGCTGCTTTTCCAGAGGTCTTCGATTCACTTCCCAGCACGCACATGGCAGCTCACAACTATCTGCAACTCCAGTTCCAAGGGATCCAACACCCTCAGACACACATACACAAAACACCAATGAACATAAAGTAAAAATAAAGTAATACTTAAAAAGAATACTTGCCTGTTCAACAGTTTTATCTCTTGACCCAAGTAATTCTATATCTGAGAGTGTAGGTTTAAAAATAACTTACTCAGAATATAAAGGAAAACTTTAATCTCCAGACTGTTCGGTGAGTATTTTTGTAATAGAATTCTCCTCCCCATTTCCCACCAAGTGCTCTTTTGGGCTTTGCATGTCTTTTTTCTTTTCATTCTCCTGAAACCTCTCTAAACTAT